CTGATCGCTGGAATAGATTAGGTACATAACTCAAGGGAACTTAGGAGCTTAATGTTCAAGAAACACCGAGTACCCAGCTACTGAGATATGCGTTCACTATGTGATAAAAAATGTTACAAAAATATGTAGCATCATAATGTGGAAGATAGCAGTTTTAGACCAACACCTCATATCTTATAACAAGATAAGCTCCAAATAGATACATGGGCAAGATATAAAAGGTTACACCATGAATTAAAGAAATAAATAAAAACAAGTAATAGTTCATGACCAAACAAGGGAGAGAATCAAAGAAAATTTTAAAAAGATAATTTTCATTACATAAAATTTAAGATTTTAGAGAAATACAATAAAGCCAAGATTAAAAGAGAAACGAGGGGTAAGGGTGGAAGGTTGAAGAATTGTTGAAACAAGTTTCACTAATACATGTTGCATTTCCAAGATACGTAAGGAACTGAATCATATTTTATTAAAAAAAAGTTTTTGGTGTCTTTTTTAACAAAAATCACCATATTTTCATATGTAGATCTCTCCCACTTCCCCTCCCAGAAGGTTATTTCATGTTTTAAAAAAAAAAGTATCATGTTAAAGATCAAAAAAGGGGAGATCAGTACCACTGATCAAAACAGCAAAAAAAATCTGAAAATGTGCAGCATGCAGAACTTGTGGACCTGTCACAACTTCCAAAACATGGGATGGGAACGTCTTTTTAAGTTTCTTTTTTTGAGCCATATTTATTCATTATAATTTTCACTATTGATTGTTTTTGTGGCTGTTCTTTCCATTTATACTTTTAGTTCATAAAGATCTTCCCATGCTCCTCTGTATTCATCGCATAGCATTTCTTATAATACAGTAATACTCTATGATATTCATTTACCACAATTTGTTTAGCCGTTCTCTGGTCAATGGACATCTACTTTGTTCCCAATTCTCTGCTATTGCAAAAACTGTTTTTATGAATATTTTGGTGACTTATGGGGACTTTTTTCTTATCAGTGGAATCTCTGGGTCAATGGATATGGACATGTTTATCACTTTATTAGCGTAATTCCAAGTTTACAAAATGGTTGTGCCAATTCACAGCTATACCAATAATGCACCAGAGTGCTTACTTTTGAGACTGCTAGATGACCCAGTGAAAAGGGGTCAAACTTGAAGAAATGGGGACCACTAAGCCATATGGAAGGATCTCTGCTGGTCAGAAGATGACTGAAGTTTTAAAACATAATGTTATTGATGTTTAATGTATTATTATTTCTTGAAATACTTTCCACCTACATTTTAATCTGGTTTGTGCAGCACTCCAGACTGTTCAACACTACAAGTTTCATATCTCTGTCCCAATGGATAGAGTGCTGGGTCTGGAGTCAAGAAGAACCGAGTTCAAACCTGACTTCAGACTGTTACTTAACTGTGACCAAAGAGAAGTCACATAACCTCCTTTGGTCGTAGCTTCCTCAACTTTAAAGTGGGGATAATAACACTTACCTCACAGTGTATTGTGAAGATCAAATGAGATAATGTGTGTAAAGTGCTCAGAACAATGCCTGTACATTTACATAGCAACTGGTATTGTTATTATTATTATTACCTACTCAAAACCCCTCCAACATGGACTACTCCCATGTTTTGACATCTTTGTCAATTTGAAAGGTGTGAGATAAAACTTCAGGGTTGTTTTAACATACATTTCTCTTATTGTTAGTGATTTGCAGCATTTTTTCATATGGTTGTTAATATTTTCAATTCTTTTGAAAACTGTTGAAATCATTTGACTACTTATTTTTTAGGAAATGGCTTTTCATTTGATATTTATAATACATGTGTATGTATATATAAATACATGTATGTATGTAGATGCACGCACATATACCTCTGCTAACTGTTTATATATTCTGAATACCAAACTTTTATCAGAGAAATTTGATACAGATTTCCCCCCCCCTTAAAACTACTTACATAGGAGGGAAGCAGAAAACTGTGAAAGAATTTTTACAACCAGTGTCTCTGATAAAGACCTCATTTCTAAAATATATAGAGAACCGAGTCAAATTTATAAGAATAGAAGTCATTCCCCAATTGAGAAATGGTCAAAGGATATGAACAGGCAATTCTCAGAAGAAATTAAAGCCATCTATAGTCATATGAAAAAATGCTCTAAATCACTATTAATTACGAGAAATGCAAATCAAAACAACTCTGAGGTACCACATCACACCTATCAGATTGGCTAACATGACAAAACAGGAAAATTATAAATGCTAGAGAAGATGTGGGAAAACTGGAACACTAATGCATTGTTGGTGGAGTTGTAAATTGATCCAACCATTCTGGAAAGCAATCTGGAACTATGCCCGAAGGCTATAAAAATGTGCACACCCTCTGACCCAGCAATACTACTTCTAGATCTATAAACCAAAGAGATCATACAAATGGGAAAAGGACCCACATGTACAAAGATATTTATAGCAGTTCTTTTTGTGGTGGTCAAGAATTGGAAATTGAGGGTCTGCCCATCAGTTGGGAAATAGTTGAACAAGTTGTGGTATACAAATATAACTGAACACTATTGTGCTATAAGAAATGATGAACAGGCTGACTTCATAAAAACCTGCAAAGACTGACATGAACTGATGCTAAGTGAAATGAGCAGAACCAGGAGAACACTGTACACATTAACAGCCACAATGTGTGATGACTAACTTTGATAGATTTAGCTCTTCTCAGCAATGCAAAGATCCATGACAACATGAAAGGATCATGACGGAAAATGCTGTCCACATCCAAAAAAAGAACTATGGAGTGTGAATGCAGACCAAAGCATATTATTTGAGACAGCTAGGTGACGCAGTGGATAGAGTACTGGTCCTGAAGTCAGGAGCACCTGAGTTCAAATGTGGCCTCAGACACATAACACTTACTAGCTGTGTGACTCTGGGCAAATCACTTAACTCCAATTGTCTCACCCTCCCACCCAAAAAAGCATATTATATGTCCTCTTTTTTTTTTCCCATTTGTTTTTGTTTCTTCTTTCTCATGGTTTCTCTCACAGGTTCTAATTCTTTACAACATGACTAATGTGAAAATAGGTTCAATATGAATGTATGTGTACAGCCTATATCAAACTGTATGCTATCTTGAGGTGGAGGGAGAAGAGAGACGGGGAGAAAATTTAGAACTCAAAATCTTATAGAAGTGAATGCTGAAAACTAAAAATAAATTAATTTAAAAAACACTTCCCTTTTTATACTAAGTGCATTAATTTTGTCTGTAGAGAAGTTTTTTTAGTTTCTTATAATCAAAGTTATCTAGTTTATATTCCACAATTGCCTCTATCCATTGTTTGGCATAGAATACATCTGCTACCTCCATCTATGAGAGGCATGTGATCTACTTCTCTTATTTTTTTTTAAGAGGAAGGAAGGAAGGAAGGAAGGAAGGAAGGAAGGAAGGAAGGAAGGAAGGAAGAGGAAGGAAGGAAGGAAGGAAGGAAGGAAGGAAAGAGGGAGGGAAGGAGGGAGGGAGGGAAGAAAACTTTGCACAACCCTCCTCACTTAGATCTAATTCATTTGTATGTCATGGCATCACCTTCCTGATGTCATGGTCCTCTTTAGGAGCAAAGGACAAACACCAACAAGAGTATGATATATAATATTAAGGTCACATATCCATTTAGAATATATTATGGAACATTTTAAAGCCTAGTTTCTGCCAGACTGCTTTCTAGTTTCTCCATCAGTTTTTAAAGAGAGCTCTTTCCTAAGTAACTCATTATTACGGGTCAATTGAAGACTGGGTTATTGAATTCCAGCATTTCTGATTCTCCATTGTCTAGTCTGTTCCACTGATTTACCCTTCTACTCTTTAAATAATACCAGATGATTCTGATGAATGTAGTCTGACTGATAGGATTTTATGTAAAACACGTGAACTATTATTCAAGAATTATATTGGTTTGTAGTTTTCCTTTTGAGCTTTCTCTTTCCTAAGTTTAGGTGTTTGAACTTTATATTTCTCATAAAAGGAATCTGGCAGGGTGTCTTCTTTTTCAATTTTGCAGAAATCTATGTAGTATTAGTACTACATGGTCTTTAAAAAGTTTGATAGAATTCTACTATGAATCCATTAGGATGACAATTTCCCCCCCTTTTGGTAATTCTTTAACAGCTGGTTCTATTTCCTTTTCCTCTATTTGGTCTAACCAAAGTTAGCTGGAGTATTTTATATTTTTGAAGGCATTATTCAATTTCTTTTGTGTTGTCATTTTTGTTATCATGTATCTATGCATACTAAATTCTGATCATTCTTTTTTATTTTTTCTGCATTTTTTTGTAATTCTGCCTTGTTCATTTACTGTTTTGTTGATTTGGTTTTCTGTATTCTTCTTTTGGATCATATTGACTAAAGGTTTTTCAATTTTATTAGTCTTTTCAAAAGATCAGCTTTTAATTTATCATTTTTATAGGTCTTTTAGGTTACAAAATCTCCTCTAATATTTAGTATCTCATCTTTTGTGCATACCTTAATTTGTTGGTTTTCTAACTATTTTTTTAAATGTCTATTTAGTTCATTGATTTTGTACTTTTTAATAAGATTTTTTTCCCTCGAGGATTGTGTTAGCTGTAGTATAGAAATTGTGATATGTCCATATTTCATCATTATTTTCTTTCACAGAATTATTAATTCTTTCTATGATTTGTTCTTTGACCTAGTCATTATTTAGGAATTCACTGTGAGGTCTCTGTCTTGTTTGCGCTCCCTACACTGATTACTACTTTGGTTACATTATTTTCTTCAATTGACTGTGAAGACCACCTCACACAATGTGCCTCAGCTGGTCTTCTGAAACAGACACAGAGTCTCCCATTCACTACACCTGCATTTAAAGTCTTTCTGGGTTAATAAGATTAGTCAGTACTTAAATCACTTTGATGCCTTAATGAGACATAAGAAGAAGACTTTATCAGAGGAAAATACTCGCAGAAACCACCAATTACCTTTTTCCCAGTTTGTTTCTCCACCATGTCGTTGCTGAGAGAGAAATCTTCTAACTGTGGTGCTTTAGAACACCCACCCTTGGGCATCGTTCTGCTTTCCTTACTTGATCTTCATTTATGCTGCCATCGCTTCGTCGTCAACCGTCTGTTTAAAACAAGAAAGAAAACGTTTAAATAGCTTTCAGACCTTTAACTCCAAACAGCCACAAAACCTGTTAGTCTCACATTGGACTAAATACAATCAATGATAATTCACACAACAGAACTTGAAAAAGAACATAACCAGCTGTCTGCTTAAGCTAAGATACCTGAAAACAGAAAATTATAAGGAAGACAGAGACTATGACAGGGAAATCTCTGTGGATAATCTAAGCCTTACAGAGAACATTAAGCAAAACCTTACCATCACCTGCCCTTGCCTCACAAAAGGCTCAAAGGTGTTTTGAGTGCTAGAAATCAGGAGAGGCTATTAATAAGATCAAGCTAAAGCTTCCAGCATTAGGAGGAGGTAAATCCTGGCGTACTTACTTATGACTTGCCCCAGGTTCTAAGGCACGATGGTTGCTCTCTATGATTTCCTCCCTTCTTTGGAGTGGTCTCCAAACTGAGCTCCATCGCATACCTCAATGACCCTTATGTTTATCTCGACTCCATTTTCCTCAGGTTCAGATTGATCTACATGTCCTAATACATAGAAAGGCTAAATCCTTTATACCATGCTAATAAACAGAACTAAAACTTGCCAAAGCTGGAACCCTCCCTCACGACGCAGACTGTAAAGTTTGTGTTCCCAGCTGCGGACCTGGGTTCCAGCCAAGTTTTTGCTTCTATTTCTAGGTGACACTCCAGCCTAATAATGGTCGGGGCAAATGCATTTAGGATGGTAACTTTTCAGGTACAGTAATTACAACTCAAACGAAGGTACAATGACCTTGGCTTCACCACTGCCAGGAGCCTAGACAGCAATCTACAGTTCAGGAGAGGTTATGGGTGGTAATAACAGGAACCAAAGGTGTGGTGCATCTTCCTATCTTCATTCCAAAAATCTAACACCAACTGCTAATTTTTATCCCCTAAACTTTGAACCTATTAAGGACTCTTTTCTCAACAGCTGCTACATCCCCCAATACTACTCTGGGAATTCATTTTTTTTTCCGCTGAAAAGAACCAAACACAGCCAGAATAAAGTACTATGGAATGAATGCACAACTTATCTGAGCAAGCATTTTTGGTGAAAACAAGACCCTTCAAGAACAGCTCTGCTCCTTAATATTTACAGGTTAATGACATGTAAGAGCTCTAATAGGTGAAGCCTTTCCTGGGGCACCTGAATAGTAGTTGTATTTAAAATTGGGGCACACATATTCTTGGGATAGTCTTTATTCAAAGAAATAATCTCTCCACAGAAAACAGTCAGACTTTTCTAGCCTCCAAGATCTCCTATGACAATCTTCCTCTCCTCCAAAAAAGTACATTTGTAAAACAGAGAAATGGAGATGCCCCTCTTCACAGAGCAAATGGTGATTTACTGTAACCTGACATCATACATTTGTTAAGAAACAAAACCAAGCTTGTGGTGGGTATAGCTTCTCTGTACTGGGCCCATCTTATTCAAAGGGCTTTGAAGTGTTTGCATTTTTAAAAAATTAATTAATTATTATATTACATTATGTTATTCATACAAATTATTAATTTATAAAAATAAACCCTCTAAAATACTGGCTCTGGAGCCACAGACCCCATTTGTCCCACTGTTCAATTTCATCTGCAGAACTCACTCACTGTGACACTCTGGATCCCTTCAGCTCTAGACACAACCCTATCGTTTCCTCGGCTGTCTATGATTGGTCTCTGCTTTACTAGAAGAACAAATGCTGGATTTGGTATGAGGCTGGATCTGGATTTGAATCCTATCTCTACCTCCTAGCATTTCTGATGACCATGTGGGTAACTTAGCCTGTCATAGTCTGTTTACTCACAAGTAAAAGGGGAATGATAATAATTGCAGGACATCCCTCAGAGTGGCTCTGAGGATTATATAAGATAATATATGTAAAGAACTTGGCAAGCAGTCATCATAACTGGCAACATCATCACTACTTTTGGGGGGGGGGGTGAGGCAATTGGGGTTAAGTGACTTGCCCAGGGTCACAGAGCTAGTAAATAAGTATCATATGTCTGAGGCCAGATTTGAACTCAGGTCCTCCTGACTCCAGGGTCGGTGCTCTACCCACCATACCACCTAGCTGCCCCCAATATGTGTGTGTGTTTTTTTTGTTTTTTTGGGGGGGGAGGGGGCAATGCAATTGGGGTTAAGTGACTTGCCCAGGGTCACACAAGCTAGTGAGTGTTATGTGTTTGGGGCCAGATTTGAACTGAGGTCCTCCTGACTCCAGGGTTGGTGCTCTACCCACTGCACCACTTAGCTGCCCCAAACATTTTTTTTTGCCTTTTTTTGGGGGGGGGGGGGGGAAGCAATGGGGGTTAAGTGACTTGCCCAGGGTCATAAAGCTAGTGTCAACCGTCTGAGGCTGGATTTGAACTTAGGTCCTCCAAGGCCAGAGCTCTATGCACAGCGCCACCTAGCTGCCCCTATCATTACTCTTTACTATAAAGACTTGAAAACAATTTGGAACTTCGCAGCATAGACATTAAAGGATCGAAAGACTTGGAACTTTATATATGTAAGCAAAAGGACCCCAGCCGAAAATATCATACCCAGCAAAGCTAAGTATAATCTTGAATGCAAAAAAAAAAAAAAAGGACATTTGATCAACTGTCAGACTTTCAAGATTTTGTTTAAAAAACAAAACAAAACATGAACTTAATAGAAGATTTGACATGCAAGCACCAAGAGAAACATAAGGTACATACCAAAGACTGATTACAAGAGATTCAATAAGGACAGACCATTTACTTTTTATATATGTAAAATGCAAAACGTATATCTAAGATTCTTATTAATAATTGGGTAGCACATAAGAAAGACTGGGGTAGACCTGAGAATGATATGACTTTTAAAAGTAAAAACATTCAGAAGCAGCTAAAAAGAGTAATTATTTTATATAAATGAGGCGCAAGAGGAAGAATCTATAAAAGGAAATTAGATTGGGGGGGGGGGGGCCCCGCGCTGGTAGTTCTGGTAATCTACTTTCACCGGGAATGGGTTTAAGAGGGAAGTATATGTATATGTATATGTATATGTATGTATTTAGAAGAGAATAAAAGTCTTCTAAATTTAGAAGAAATAAAACAATGAAGGTATAGGGAGGGGGCAGAGGACAATGGAGGGATCTCTAGAAGGGAGGGTGAGGAAAGAGGTTATGGGGGCTATAAAAGGGTGATTTAAGGGAATGGGAGGATAGGGGAGGGATCTTGGAAGGGGAGTGGGCTAAGTAATAGAAGAGCAAGGTAGCAGGTGGAAGTAAAGTAGAGGAGTCAGGAAAGATAGGAAACAAGAGATATGCACAAACATAAAAACAAAGACCAGGAGTAGAAAGTGCTTGGGAAAGTATATGTGTATATATATGTGTATGTGTATGCACATATCTATAGCTATAGAGAAATATATCTGCACTCAACTGTAGCTTTGGGGGTGGGACTGGGTAGAGGACAAAGTAAAAAAAAAGTGCACATCAGAGAACAAAAGAAAACTTACAAGAAAGAAAAGATGGACAGCTCTAGACACAATGTATAGTATTCATCATACAAGCGTTCTTGAAATGAAAATTTATCGTTACATATTTTGAATCCTCTCATGTTCTGCTATGCTCACGACATGCTTTTTTTTTCTTTTATTACTTTGTAATTAAGGTCCAATATTTAAGTTTATGATATGTTTTTGTTTTCTTTTTTCTATTCTGTATTTCTGTTCTGGTTATTGAGTCTAAAATAAAATTCAATTAAAAAAAAAAAGAAAATAATTGGGAAACCAAATACAGACTAGTAAAAATTTTTGTCAGCTTATAGAAACTACTCTGATCTTATGCCCCACAATTGCACATAAATTACAAAAGTCAAGCTGATTCTCACACACATGATCACAAAGGAACAGAAAATTCCATATTAGATGTAACTATGGAGTTCAATACCTAAGAAAATAATCCCAACCTTCAAGAGGCATATAAACTCTTTGTGGAGGTAAAACATAGGTAACATAACACATTTAAATAACAATATAAAGTAGTACAAGATTGACTGCTAAATGAAAGGAGGTGCAGGGAGAGTATGGAGGAAAACAGGGAATTGAGAGATCTGGAGTATGAAGGAGGGAAGAAGGTCTAGGTAGTCTAAGGAGAAAAGCTGGCATTCCAAACAGGAGAACCAGGATTTAAAAAAAGAAAAAAAAAATTTTTTTTAAACGAATATGAGTTAGATGCACAAAAACAAATGGAAATGAGGTCAGGGTGGAGGTATTCCGATTTAGGAGTCTTCTTCACATAAGTGATAAATGAAGTCATGGGAATAAATGAGAACACCAAGGGAGAGGGAATATAAAAAATAAAAGAGACAGGCATGGAAGTGGAGGAAAGAACACAGCAGACAAAGACATCTGTGTATATAAGGTATAGTCAGAAAAACAATCAAAAGACTAGAAAGATTCACTAAGAGAAGAGAGTGCCATTTCATGGAAGAGAAGGAAAGAAAACTGTTTCAAATAGTAAAGAGAATGAAGAGGAATGAATACATTGATAAGGTCTCTGGATTACAACATTATGGTGACCTCAAAAGGAGCAGAATATAATGTAAGTCTGTATGTTATGCTTACATAGAGCTATAACTCCTTTCTTACTGCAGAACTCAGAATTTCATGGCGTGTGCTCATTTTAAACAACATATTCTACATTTTCTTCCAATCTGATTCTATACTATTAGAAAAATATAATCTATTTTGAATAATGTCTAAATAGAACATAGACATTTAAACGTATTATATTGCATACCTATGAAGAGCTGTAACAATTAATCTTTTACCATAAGGTAGTAAAAGTCAGTAGACAACCAACCATTTAAACACATTCAATGAGAAGCAGAAATCCAAACCACATACTCTCATATGATTATAAATCAATTTCAGTCAAGATGGAAAACAAAACGTTCCAAATACAGGCTATAATTACAATCTAGCTTGATGGGTTCACTATA